TATATCTTATATACCGCCTGTGGAATTTTAATGAATGTGCAGTCTTTATATGAGTTTTCAGTCTTCTTGGTCAATGACTTGCTTATGTGTGACAAAGAATTAAGCGAAAGGAGTGAGACTTTCCCTGTGGTAGCAAGATGTGTGAGACTCTATAGCAATGGGAGACAAAGCTAGAAAAGTCCAGTGATAAGAGTCCATCTTTACAGATAGCACATCTGAAGTAAGTGAAATGTAATGCTTCAGCCAGAGGGCTCCCCAGCAAACTGTAAGACCCCACTTTTCTGAAGCTAATCATAAACATCAATCAGTAAAAGCTACAATCACACATTTTTGTGTCAGCTTCATTGAGACTAGCTGCGGTCTCTGACAAGCAGCAGCGATTCAAGCCGGAAAAACGTCTGTGCAAACATTTCTGCAGTACTTAAAGCATACCCAAACATAATCTTATGAATATGTGCAAGTGATTGACAAACACAATGTTCTGAAGAGAAACCAATTTCCTTAGAAAATAAACAGAAATAAAATGTGTGTTGATGCTAAGTGTGGATTGCCAACAGACAATTTTTAAATCCCTCTTCCCAACATAAACAGACACAAATATATAATAAGCAAATATGATGGCAATAGCTTCCGTCAGCAAAAGTTTAGGAACAAAGCCATGACGTCAATTACTGGAGATTCAGCCCATCACAGCACACGCTGAGCCCTGAAAAGACGCTATTTGCTTCAAGGACTGCACAAAAACATACAACAGCATACAAAATGAAATATACACAGCTCACAAAAATGGAAGGAATACACTGACATGAGGAGGATGTCTATTTCTTCTCAAGCCTCTGTCTGTATACTGCCACAACTTGTCATGACAAAGGAATGGCTTTATGCAGAAAGGCTGCATTAACAGATGAGAGGTCTGCAGGCCCGCTCACTACAAATCAGGGAAAGGATCAACACCATCAGTGGGGTTCCTACTTGAAAACAGCATTTCAAACAGTGTTTAAGAGAAGAGAGGATGTCACACCTAAAAATGTCTCCACACGGACTCCCCGCTCCGCACACTGTCTTACTGGAATCAGGAAACCATGTTTAACGATGAATTTACAACCGATAATCACAAAGGAACTGGCCAGGCCATGGTCAAAAGCAAAGTGTCTTGCTCTGTCTTTCACCCCCCCCTTCCTCAGGCTTGACATACATTTCATGTCATCACCAAGACCGTTATAAATAGGGGCTGGGGGAGGTATACTCATCACATATCCTGATGGGGCCATCCAGCCACTGGAAATCCCATCAACTACAGATTAGCAGATTTTCTATGTGTATTCACCCCACAATTCAATTAACTCTAACTACCCAAACACATAGGGATTCATATCTATTGGGAAATGACAGCAATTGTAGATGCTCTGGCTGTAAATGATAACTTTCCCAGGAGATTAATTTGCCGAAAAATAATTGAAAAAGACTGAATCCAAGTAACAAAGGAAGAAAAATAAAACAATCAGATGAAACCACAAGTCTTCCTCAACTGACAGCTGCTCACATCAGCCATAAAAAGAACCCTGCCAAGGCACTACAGTGCCAGGGGTACACCGCCAAGGCTACACATTGCTCGGGGTATATCGCAAACCCTACATTGCTCGGGTTATACCGCTGACGCTACATTGCTAGGGATGTGGCATTAAAGCTATATTGCTAAGGGTATACCGCCAACGCTATATTGCTGAGGGTGTGGCTCACAGGCAGGGCCCTCCTTACCATCTTGTCTTTGTATTGTGATTGTAATGTCTTCCTTATATTGTAAAGCGCCGTGCAAACTGTTGGCGCTATATGAATCCTGTATAATAATAATTAACGCTATATTGCTGGGGGTGTGGCATTAACGCTATATTGCTGGGGGTGTGGCATTAACGCTATATTGCTGGGGGTATACCGCCAACACCATTTACTTTTCTTTTTTTAGCAGTGTACTGCCAAAGCTATACAGCCAACTTTATTATATTTTGTGGTAGCGGTATATCACCATTATTAAAGTGGGGTTTGTTTGGGGGTTTTTTTTGCAGTATGCCAAAACAATGTTTTAAGCGGTAACACTAATTATTTTATATTAGCAGTATACCGGCAACAAGTGTATTTTTTTTAGTGGTATACCACCAACTATGTAATTTTATTTTTGCGATCTACCGCCAACACTATACCTTACCTACCGTACATATTTATCAAAGTATTCTCCATTCACTACGCTGAAAGCAAAAATAGGGGGTCATTCACCAGCGGTATCCAGCTGGAAGAAGCTCACAGAAGATACTGCATAAAAAAAGTCACCAAAAGCACTCTCGTTTAGACACGTACAATTCTATATCCGTTCTTCTAGCTCTATTGTCTGTCCCAGAATGCTTCTTTTCAATCCCAGACTGCTTTTCTACAGCAAACCCAAAGACTCAAATTGTAGACGCATAACAAAATGCAGAAACACACAGCTCTGGACGTAGCTGTACCCTATTTGTTAGAACACGACTAAATGCAGCGCAAATGTACGCTGTATTACGTAGCTGGGAGTATGGCCCACAGACTTCCTTCGTGCTGCATTGAGATGTGGATAGTTGACACGTCTAAGTCTATGGGCCGATAGTCACAGTGTAAATCTGCACTTTGTATAGTGATTTTTAATGCCTGTGTCAATGAGCCCTAAGGATATTTCTGCCACATGATGGTAACTTTATAATCCCGCCAGTCTCATACCGGTCACCTTTGTCAAGTCTCCTTTTTCCTGGTGTATGAGCTCAGAGAAATGAAACTAAAGTGACCTGTCCATATTGCCCCACCATCAATCCAAGTTTCACTCCCCAGCTGCCATTTTCTAGGGCAGGTATGAATCCGATTGGCTGACGTGGGGCAACACTGTACTCATTTCAGACGCTTGAGGCCCTCTAGAAGTATATCCTGAGCTGGACATTGGTGACTCCTACAGAGGCTGGCTGCTTGTCTAGTGTAAACAAAGCTGGCAATATTCCATGGATGTCAGGGGTATCTCGCAGATCCCTGTGTGTGCGTCTAATGACAACACATGTGTTGATGGGGAAAATGAGACCCCCTGCTGAGAGGTGATCGGGTCAGCAACAGCTATGGAGGAGGGGCGGCTGATCCTGGAAGCTAACACTCCCTATACAGCCGGACACACTGCTATGTGGAAGGGGGTGTATGATGGCGCAGAGCTACGGACACAGCCGCTTGTGGTGGCGATCTCTTTACCTTCAGCTCCTCCTCCCGTGAGGCCTCCGGCCCGGGCGCTGCCACAGCAGACTATGCTCCTTCCTCCTCCCCCACCGACAATACGGGAGATTAGCCCAGTGTGTCGTCTCTCAGCAGCTCGGCTGCGCTTCAAGTGTCCCTTCGGCGGCTGAGCTCCTCATTCTTTGCCCGCCGAGTGTCTCTCCCCTTCCGGTGCTGGAAAAGCCTCCGGCTCGGTAGCTCCCGGTTTCTCTGCTCTCGCCCGGTCTCGGTGTCTCTCAGCTAGTGTTGGGAGGGGCTCCCCTCCAGTCACGTGACGTACCACAGGCGGCGCTTCCAAGGCCTCGAAATGGGACTGTCTCTGCTCCTAGGCGCCAGCCGGGTACTCCGTGCCCGACGACGCATGCGCACGGCTCTAACCGGTCAAAGGGCAGGTCACTGGAACGTTCTTGTCGCCAGGTAGCCATATTGTTGGTGGAATTCTCTTGTAAACGTTAGCAAATCTAGAAATGCTCGTTCTAGCGTGTATCCGTGTTCTTGAGAAGTAAATATTTAATGAGGAAGATTTTGTTTCGATTGTAGTGTCATAACATAAACATGAAGCGATTAGTGTGCCATCTAGTGGAATCTGCGAGCATTGCATTATATTACTGTAGGGCAGTGGTTGTCAACTTGTGTAACCTCAGCACCTACATTTGTCCTTGGTCATTAAGTTGCGACCCAAGTCGCACCGCACTGGAATGCATGGCATTCGAACTGTGGGTGGGAGGTGCATATGGGGTGCCATTAAAATAAATGGCAAAACAATTCCAACACTAGAACATGTGGTAGGTGCGACTGTGTGGTATAGCACGTTAATCGCAAGGAACTGTACGATTACCGCACTGTACTAGTGTGAACGAGCCCTCAAAAACACTGATAGACACACACAACCACACAACCAATCTCACACACTCAAAGACATTCTCACACACATCATATTTTAATTGTTTTTTTAAGATCCACCCAGTCTCCCTATGAGAACTGGAAGGGTATGCTCAGCCTGGGGTCCAGAGTGGGCTGCTGTACTGTGACAGAGCTCCCTCCATATATGCATTGCTTGTACAGCTCCCTTCGCGCCCTGTAGAGGTGTCAGAATGTGATGTCACTCCGGTCCAACATCAAAAAGCTTCCTAGCACACTCACTAGCCAGCATGCAAAAAAACTTGTCTCACCGCTAAGGTTAAAAACAGAGGTTTAGATACACGTCTTCTGCAGAAAATGTAAAAGCCTGAGGCACCTCTATGTAGTGCGGTCCTGACTCTAAACTATGAGAGTCTCCATCTTGGAGCACATGTGTCAAAAGATAAAATTGGGTGCAGGTTTGTCAGGAGGAAGCCCCAACCCCCTTAAAGGCACAGGGACACACAAGGGATGCCGCACATCACAACAGCCGCTGAGACCCCCCCATGTGTCACTGCACCAAATCAGTCAAGCAAAACAAATGGCAAACGCACTCATCAATTTTCTGCAGAAGACGTGTATCTAAAACTCTGTTTTTAACCTTAGCGGTGAGACAAGTTTTTTTGCATGCTGGCTGGTGAGTGTGCTGGGAAACTTTTTGCTCCTCAAGCTGACACTGCACCGGGCAGCATATTTGCTCCATCGCGCCCCACCTCAAGCTGACACTCAGCGCCGGTCAGCATATTTGCTCCATCGCACCCCTCCTTAAGCTGACACTCAGCGCCGGTCAGCATATTTGCTCCATCGCACCCCTCCTCAAGCTGACACTCAGCGCCGGGCAGCATATTTGCAATGGCTGCTCAGCGCAAGAACTGCCAGTGTTGTGCTAGTGCTAGGGGGAGGCTGAGAAGCCTCTCACCTAGCACAGTAGAAGGCACGCGGCAACCCACTGAATTCTGGCTTGCGACCTACTTTTGGGTCATGACCCACCAGTTGAGAACCACAGCTCTAGGGAACACAGAGATAACATTCAGTATTAGCTGAATCAGTGGTAGTCAATTTACAAGGTGTAGGGGGGCCTCAGCTGTGGCCCCTGACTGCTCCAAAGGGCTGCAAATAATATTCAATATATGGCAGAAGATTGTCAGAGACTTCAGGCATACTAGAGGAGACGAACAGAGACTGTAGACCTTCAACCGGAGTGAATGGGAGACACACTAGAAGAGATGGTCAGAGACTGCAAACATGCTACTGGAGGTTGTTAGAGACTAAGAACATGTCAGAGGAGATGGTCAGAGACTGAGGCTCTATCACAGGAGATGGTCAGAGACTGTAAACATGCTACCGGATATGGCCAGAGACTAAGGCCTAGTGATGGGTCGTGCTTGGTGAGTTCGCCCAAGCCCCCTCAAAACTGCTACTTCCTCCTCCCAACCAATCAGTTGCCAAGAGGCGCATTCCCTGGCCCGCAGCTGTATACATCACAAAGGGGTGGGGAATGACAACACCACTACTGCAACCACTGATTGGACCAGGAGAGGGGGTGTCAGTCACAGTTTTGAGCAGGCTTGGGCAAACTCAGGCAAACAGAAGAGGGTCAGAGACTACAAAAATATCAGAGAAGATGGTCAGAGACCGATGACATGTCACAGGAGATGGCCAGAGACTGCCAACATGCTACAGGAGATGGTCAGAGACTGAGGACATACTTCGGGAGATGGTAAGAGGCTGAGAACACGCTACAGGAGATGGTCAGAGACTGAGGACACACTACAGGAGATGGTCGAAGACTGAAGACATGCCACATGAGACTGCTAAAGATTACTGTCAATATAGCTTATTTACAAATTAATGCTTCCTCTGCTGTGCTCGGGCCTGCAAAGGGCCACACAGTAAACACCAAAGGCCACATATAGTCCTTGGGCTGCAGGTTGGGCACTAGGTAGCTTAGGAATAATGCTTTCTATTACTTATTAATACCGTTTTGTAGTCACTCATGAATTCTGGCCCTGCATTCCCAGCCCCATACCCAATAAACAGCATGCATGCATGCACCCCCCCCCCCCCCAACAACCTGACAACCTGGGTATGTGTCGGGTGCTTTTTCTGGATTTTATCCCTTTATTTTTTTACTTGGTGATCCTGCCAGCAACACACTTCCTATCCTGGGGTAACAAGACTCACTCACCTTACTGTATCTATAGAGAATCAGCATTGTTATCCAAGCCTGCTCTTCCGGTTTGAACTACACACACCCCTACCTCTCCTTATCTCCATTACATAGAAGGTGTTGCTTTGTGGTTCTCAGACAATAGCTGAGAAATCTGATAACATTGTTTGAAATCTTAGTTCAGTGCAGAAGTTCTTGAAAGGACACTACATGCCTGCAATCTAATGACTTATCTGGAATAAGTCATATATATATATACTTCAAAGGTGTTCACCAAGCTTTTGCTAATATTTTCTGTATCAATTGGAAACATTGATGAATGCCTTTTTCTCTTTCTAGATTCTTGGAGAGCCATTCTATAGAAGAATAGAAGTGGCTAAGTTTATGCCCTGCAACAACTTGGACACTCCAAACAAGCCACAGAAGTAGAAGTCAGGTGCAAGACTTTGCCCAATCAGGACCCAGTACTCTGTAAGAGCCATGATTGGGCAAAGTCATGATCACTTTGCCCAATCATGGCTCTTCTGTCAGATGACATGAAACTGTACACAGTTGGGCAGAGCTAGCTGTCACCGCTAGCTTCGCCCAATTGTTTATGTTTTGCCGGCATCTGTCAAAATGCCATTATGCGGCAGAGGAAGAACTGAAGGAGAACATTCAATCAGCAGAGGAGGACCTGTCAATCAACAGAGGAGGACCTGAAGGAGAACATTCTCCTTCAGGTCCCTCCTCTACTGATTGACAGCAGACAGTGGGCAGGTGCAATAGCCAGCCTGCTATTGCAATTTGAAATAGCCAATAGCAGGCTGGTTATTGCTCCCAGGCACTGCCTGCTGTATTTACATTCCCTAGCTAAAGCTTTTGAAGTGGAAAGGTGACACTAGGGGTCTAAAAGGACCCTTAATGTCACCTTAAAAAGAACCTGTCATCTCCAATGTGCTATCATATAGGGGGCTTGTGAGCCCCCATATGTCATAGTAGTGAAGTTAAGTGAAAAAATAAAGTTAAATAAAATAAAACTAAAAATACCAAAAACAATTTAAAGTGACCTGCCCCCGCGAATGCACACATACTACTGGAAACACAAGTCGGGGGCACCTATGTACAAAAACGACAATTGTGCTATATATGTGAGGTATCCCTGCGAGCGCCAGAGTGATAGCAATAATTATTTGGCCAATATTCATGGCTAACTCTGATGGCAGGGCTTTTATATTATTTTATATATAATTGTGTTTTGGTCCAATTTTGGTGTTTTATTATATTTGGTTATTTTATTATATTGGCATGGAGTTTTTAGTTCAGATTATTTTGAATCCATAAAAATAATTAAAATGTCTAACGCGCCTCTTGCCGACAGTGCGATTGCGGACACTGGAACCGCACTACCCTGTGTTCCAGTGCAGTGCAATTGCAAACAATTGTGCATGCAGTTTTATTCTGAAGTTAGCTTTATGTTTGTAACCTTCCATTTGTGTATTTTATTTTAACTAAAAGGTGGTATTAAATTTTTTTTTTTTTTCAGATGAATCAAAAAAATAATCGACCAACTAATCGATTATGAAAATAAAAGTTGCAGCCCTAAAAACATCATGTGACACAGAACATTCTGCTGAGTCCTGCGACACCCATTGTGGGTTCTGATAGGTTGAAGTTTTTTGTAGGTGATAAAAATCCTGTATATTAAATCTAATTAGGACTCTGTCACCTAGTTCGCTTTTTAAGACTCCTCAGCCATACCCAATCTTGCTCTGTCCCTTCTCTGCTTCTTCTGTGAAAAGTTTGTGCAGGAGGGAGGTGGGCGGGTGCATGTAGCATAGCAGAGATGCAATCCGAGTAACTATCTCTTTGAGGCAGGAGTAGGTAACACTAGAGAGGTGGAGGAGATCTACCTGAACAACATAAAAAGGATCAAAGAACAGCAGGGTGGAGCACAATTTGTTTTAAGGAGATAACTTAGCAAGGAACCATTAAAAAGTAATTAAAGGAGAACTATGGGGTCAGTGTTACATAGTTACATAGTTACATAGTATTTGAGGTTGAATAAAGACATTAGTCCATCAAGTCCAACCTATTAGGATCTCATTCTAGGAGTACCCGTACCCCTGTATATTACGGTTGTTTTTCCCCATAGTTCTCCTTAGGGTAAACATTTGCTTGAAGAGGGCAGCCCTGTCCTCCTCTCCCTTTCCTCTTTCTTTGAGGCAATGGTGAAGTTATATGATGACCCACAACGTACTTCCACTGCAGAGAACATTTTGTCCTCCCTCCAGCAAGGTAAAAGGCCTGTGA